ACACCCCACGGTTCGGTTAACCGAACCATGAGCACCCCTGGCTAAAATTATTAAAATCCCTCTTGATCTTGAATCAACATCATATTTGGGTGCTCCTATTTTGGAGGGCAGAGTCACAAAAGAGGTGTTTAAGGGGCTTAGTGACAAAATGGCCAATAAACTTGCGGGATGGAAAAGGAATTCTCTTTTCCCTTGCCGGTAAACTAACCCTTGTTAATGCCACAACAAGTATGATTCCCCAAATTATTATGTGATACTTCAAAATTCCAACAATGTGGTCAATGACCTTGATAAAAAGCAAAGAGTCATTTATTTGGTCTAAGTCAAATGAAAGAAAACCTATTCGCCTTTTAAACTGGGAGAGGGTGTATACTCCCAAAAGTTGGGGTGGCCATGGCATTAAAAAACTTATATGGGTAAATAATGAATATCTTTATTAATTAGCATGGCGCATTTTAATTGACCTAGAGAATAAGGGGATTTCATGGACGTTGAGAGGTATCATTTTTTGGTATAATGTTTAGGTATCCTCATTGCCCATGAGGTGATAAAAAGGGGAGTTGATGATGGTAAAAATATCATTTTTTGGTATAATGTTTAGGTTGACAACACTTCTCTTAGTGAGGGCATAAATTAGGAGTAAATTGAAAACATTAACCTCAAGGTATGGGCGGATTCGAGCAGAGCCGAGCCGAATACTTGGCTATTCGAGCTCGGCTCGCTGAAAATTGTGTTAGGCTTGAGCTCAAGCTCGGCTTGGTTCAAAGCTCATAAGTTTGAGCTCGACTTGGCTCGAGCTCAATTGCAAGCCAAGTTTATTCTAAAAATAAAAATTATAAATATAAAAATATATATTTTTTATTTTGCATAAAAATAAGAATTATAAAAATCATTTATTATTATACGTAAAAATTAAAATAGACATATAAAAATGTTTTTATTTTACATACAGAAAAATTAAGAATTATAAAATTATTTACTATATATTTATATATGTATATGTATATGTATGTATGTATGTATATAATAAAAAATATTTATTTATTATACTAGGCTCGATTAGGCTTGCGAATCGAGCTTCACTGGGCTCGAGCTCGGCTCGACTAGCAAACAAAACTATATATCAGACTTGAACTCAGCTCGGAACCGAGTCGAGTCGAGCTTTTCACAAGCTGAGTTCGAATAGTTTGTGAGAAGCTTGGCTCGTGGCCACCCCTACATCAAGGTATGTGAGGTTATTAATGGCAAGAGAATAACATGGATAACTAATCATATTAGAGCACTTGTGCCTCCTTTGTTGGGCAAAAAAATCCATCCCATCCTCATTCCCTCGTCTCCTATAGAGGACATTATGGTGTGCAAACTTTCAACCAATGGAAAGTTTTTGGTCAAGGCTACCTATATGGCAAAATGTATGGGCTAATAGAAACATAGTCTTACCAAATTAGAGTTTCAATGGAATTTGGAAAATCTGTTTTCCACCTAAGTTAAAAGTTTTCCTCCTTTGGTTTTAACCTACAAGCTACCTTCAAAGAAATTCTTGATCACTAGGGGCTGCAATATTGATAGTACTTGTAAGTAGAGGTGTAAATCGGCGGCACGACCCATATATATTTATATATTATATATATAATATTTATATATAATATATTATATCAATTATAATTATATATTAATAAAATAAACAATTATTTTCAAAATTTTAATATTTTGAATTTTTGTAAGTAAATAGCTTTGGCCCAATCTACGGCTTGGCCGGGCCTAAGGCTTGACCCACGGACCAGCCTGACCCATGGCACGACATGGCATGGGGCCGCGTGGGCTCAGGCTGTGGGCCATGTCGGGTCAATCCCCCAAAATATCCTAGGGGAGGGAGGCATGGCATGGCCCGCACTTTGCGCGGGCTGCACACGGACTGTGTCATGCCGACCCAACACGATCCGTTTTACACCTCTACTTGCAAGATTTGTGGAGAAGAAGAAGACCTTGACCACATTTTTAAAAACTGTTCATATGCGAAGTAAGTATGGCTTGTGGTTGGGTCAAATATGTATGCTCCTAAGTATGATGATAACTCCATTCAAGAGTGGTGGGTAAGAATCTCAAATCCAAATTTGTTGAATGTTGAGAATGTGGACCCTTGGATAAAAGAAAAAAGTACCATTATTTTATGGCTTACATGGGAAAATAAAAATGAAAATCTCTTTTGGAATACTTTATCTCCTCCCATTGTGATTGAGATATCTATTAATTATTTTTCGGATCTCAAGGCTAGCATTAACAATGAGATTTACTTGTAAGGCAACAAACCCTAGAGGTCTATTGTTTGGCATTGCCCTTAAGTGTGTTGTGAAGATTAACTTTGATGCATCTTACAATCTTAATGGTTTTTGTTCCATAGCTTGTATTGTAAGGGATCACATTGGAAGAGTGTTAGATGTGAAATATGCTTGTATTGGTAGGACTTTGATTAACATCACTAAAACTAGAGTGGCTTGGGAAGCTCACAGTGTTGTGTTGAATTTTAAAGATTTCAAAGTGGCTATCGATGGAGATCCTAAACTTGTTGTCAATTGCCTTAACAAGAGAGTGGATAATCTGTAGAGCCTAAAGATGATCATCGAGGAGAGTTATTAGCTGAACATGATTTTGGATTGTGGTCTCTACTACTAGCATGTCTATCGTGAAGCTAATCAGGTAGTGAATTGGTTGACTCATACAACGTTTACTAACATGGTTTTCGACATTTTCAACCTTCCTTGTTTTCTTACTTTTATTTGTCTGTGATGTTTGGGGATGTTCTACCCTTCATCTTATGTAGCACTCTTTTGATTTATAAAAAAAAGCATTAAATGAATGTTAATTAAAATTAATACCTTAAATATAAGGTTTTAATAACAAGGAGGAAGCAAGTAGTTGTTCAAATTACAGTTATGTTCTTACAATTAAATAGGGATTGTGAGCTCGAGGAAGCTTATGGTTAGCTCAAAGACAATGAATCGCTACTCATTTTTTAGGAGAAATAAGCCATTGTTTTCAATTGTGGAAAAAAATGATTTATTTTTTAAATGGTGACTCCACTCTCTTCGAGAAAGACATTAACCAAGAGATTTTGTATTCGAGTGGATTGTGAGAGGAAATGTGTTAAGAACCCCTCTTTCCAAGCTACAACAGAATCCTAATATTAGGCTTAATTTCCAACAAAAATATTGATAAGAATTCCGCAAAATCTTGTGAAAAAATGCTTCAAACTTCTCTTAAAACTGGTTTAAGAAGATGCTATTAGGCCATAGGTATAAATTTCTCTAAGACCCTCATCTTTCTACCTCTTTATCCTAGCCTATAAGTAGGTGGTAATGCAAGTTCCTAAAGTTTTGGGTTTTTTCTAGGTTCTTTTAGTCTATTTGCCTTGTCATAATTGGTATAATAGGATAGTGAGGTTTAAGTGAAAGGGTTGATATCATCCCCACACTCTTGAGGTCTTAGGTTGGGATAGATGACGGGGTGATTAAATTGGGTCATGGAATTTCATGTATTTTTTTTTCAGTCTTTGGTTATGATGGTGAAGTCTAATTGGTCACATAAGGCTTGGATGATGGAGATCCATGGATTGATATGCTATAATCAATTAAATTTGCTGAAACAAAACCTTAGTTTGATAGTGGGTCAAACGATGAAATTTTGGGATGAAATGTGGTTTGTAAGCATTTTAAACATCATGAACCTAATAGAAAAGTCGTATCTTTTATCAAAGTTGTATATTGAAAGATTTGGTTCAAATCAATATTTTAGCTTATGACTCATCAATTAACAAGAAGGCTTCAAATGAATCCTTGTTTGTTTGATAGTTAAATGTCATGAAATTTGATGTATTGGGGAATTTTGGGCCCTTGAAAATGGTGGTAAGGTCCAATTGGTTAAATGATGTTCTGATGGTAGAGATAGAACATTGGCTTGATGATGGATCAAATGAGGGAATTTTGGGATAAAATTTGATGAATAGACATTTTTTAAACATAGTGAATTTGATGGAAAAGTCAAATCTTTGATCATAAGTTTGGCTTGAAGGGTTTAGTTTATATTAATGTTTTGGCTTGTGGCTTATTAACTAATGAGATTACTTAAAATGAAATATTGCTTATTTTGGAAGGAAATGCATAAATTTAAGACCAACATTGGATAAGTGGGTTATTTTGATAATTTTGGATGTGGTGCTTGGGCTACAACTTCTTGTGTGATTTAATCATAAACATTAAATTGGAATCTTTATTGATCGTATAGTTAAATAAGGGAATTTTGAGTTGAAATTTTGCGTGTAGCATGGATGGATATGAAGAGTTGGGTGAAATGTTTAGATTTGAGAAAGAATTCTTTGATCTTAGTTATATAGTTTTATTCATCAAAGGTCGTTAAAATAGAATATTGGCATTTTTAAAGTTAACCATTGTAGATTTAAGGTGGAATTTAATGATTGATTGTACATTAGTATCCGTGAGATAATGGATGTTTCAAATTTGATTTTGTGGAGTCAAGGTTTAGACATTACATAGATTGAGACCATTAGAGAGAAATTAGTACGATGAAAGATGAATTTCTAGAATTTGGTTATGAAATTTAATGTGTGACTAATTTATAGTTTCTTAAGTTTGGGGATTGTATTTGATCAAAATAGTAAATCTTATATAATGTTAAATGTTGATCTCAATGCTCTTAATGATTTTTAAATATATTTATTATATGTGAAAGGGGATTATGGGTTTCTACAAATCTTAAATTGATCTGGTTATATTTTCAAATTTTGGGGTCTTGAAAGAGGGTGCATTAATCAAACAAAAGTTCAAAAAGCTTGTTTATAGATGCATCATAGATAAAAGGGGTAATTATCTATTTGTCAAAAATTAAAGGGGAAATGTTTATAATTGGCAGAAAATCCAAGGGAGGTTTTTTTTATATTTTACGTCCTTACGCCTGAGAAAAAGAAAAACCGAAATGATGAGCAAGAGAGAGAAGAAGGTACTCACCTCGCCATTTCCGGTCTTACTCCCTTGTAAAAACACAGCAGGTTACTATCATGGCGAGAAGAACCCTATCAATTCTATTGCAACTTCTGCCGAGCTCAAGATCTTCTTCATCATATCCTTCGATTGCATGCTTAGGGTTATCAGGTCTCGATTCGAAGCGAACCGTAACCTACATGCCCCGGCCCGGTGATGGCGCACCCAGAGCTGTGACCCTTATTCCAGGTGATGGAATCGGACCTCTTGTCACTGGTGCTGTCGAGCAGGTCATGGAGGCAATGCACGCTCCGGTGTACTTCGAGAGATACGAAGTTCATGGCGACATGACAAAGGTTCCGCAAGAGGTGATTGATTCGATCAGGAAGAACAAGGTCTGCTTGAAGGGTGGTTTGGCAACGCCGGTTGGAGGGGGAGTTAGCTCGTTGAATATGCAACTGAGGAAGGAGCTTGATCTGTATGCGTCGCTTGTGAATTGTTTCAATCTGCCTGGGTTGCCCACGAGGCACGAGAATGTTGATATCGTTGTGATCAGGGAAAATACAGAAGGAGAGTATTCTGGGCTCGAGCATGAGGTCGTTCCTGGTGTGGTCGAGAGCCTCAAGGTAATCTTGTTGATCATTTTTCTATACATTTGTTTAGCTAACCTTCTCTTATATATTTTTCTTTCCACTATATGTTTTCCCTTTTCTGTCTTGCCTGTTAATCTTGTAGTAGTAAGCTCACCTTTTATTGATGATATCTTTTTAATGCACATAGAACTGATTACATTTAGAGTTGGCTATCAGGATTCAGGACCCTCTATTGGTTGGTTAATGCATTTTGAAACTATATGATTATTGGAAGAATTGTGAATTTAGATTGGTCCTTTTGTTTGATTCATGATTGATTATATGATCTATTATGAAAAAGAAGAATGTAGAAGCTTGCCAATTTAACTTATAGGATAATTGTGAACCATCTTTGATCACTTGATTGCTGTAGTTTAGAGAAAACTGGTATTTCAAGCTAACTGTAACAAAGTAAAGGATAAAATAATTTCCATTGCCTACCAATGCTCAGAGAACTGGACTGGGTGTAGAACTGGAAAAAGGAGAGGTTCACAGGTCAGATGTTCAACCGGGGTTAAACCACAGACACGACATATATACATGTATAAAAAGGAAATTTCATTAAACTGAAAAAAAGGCAGTGGTTGTCAAGTTGATAAACCAAATACAGATCAGATCAAACTGTGAAAGAATCAAAGTTACAAAGATTCAACTCCAGATTACCCCAGAAATTCCCTAACAGATCAGACTTATTCACTTGGTCAAACTCTGGAAGACTGAGAGCCCAAGCTACAATCAGATTGCCCACACCTGCTATCAAATATTCAATGCTTTTTCTTTGTCCTCGAAAATCCTTTTATTTCTTTCTTTCCAAATGGACCAGCATATTGCGAATGGGATATGACTCCATAGGATTTTAGCTTTCTTCCTTTGATTTTCGGCCATTTGGAGAAAATCTCTGCTGGAACCAAAGGATGAGATTCATTCTCTTCAAACAGGTAGGAGAAGAACTTCCAAATAAAATTTGCCACACTGCATGAGAAGAATAAATGAAGAACCGTTTCTTCCTCCTGGTTGCACACATAACAACAGTTTGCTAATTGTAAGCCTCTGGATTTCAAGTGATCYGAGGTTAGGATACTGTCATGCGCCACCAGTCAAGCAAAAGCTTCTACCCTTGGGGGCACTAGGTTACCCCACACTCCTTTTATCTGGTCTGGATCCCTACCATCTCTCAGTAAAGCTTTGTAAAAAGATTTAATTTAAAATCTGCCTTCTCTGCATTATTTCCACCATAATCCATCTACTGTAGCTCTGGATATATTTGTATCTTCTAACTTTACCAATAACAGAATACACTTGATCCACTTCTTGGTCCAATAAAGGTCTTATGAACTTCGGATTCCAAACACTTGCTCCCCTCTCCACTCATAACATTGCTCAATAGATACTTGTTGATCTGTCAACTTGTAAATTTTGGGGCACACCTCACGTAATTATCTCACTCCAAGCAACTCATCTTCCCAAAACCTTGTCCTAAGCCCTTCCCCCACTTTTAACTTGACTAAACTTCTGAAGTCTTGATTAAATCTCATGATTCCTTTCCATACACTTATCCTGTAGGACTAAGGTAGTGACCACGTCTTGAATTGGTTGGCCTTGACTTAAGACCACTTCTCCATCTTCATCTCTTCTCTTTTTACCGATTAAGGATGGAGCATCTTTCTTCTTGGACAAGATAATTGTCCCACCAGCCTTTGAGTTGTCCTGTAAAACATTCAGTCATCACGGTGGCAATTATCTTTTTCTCATTTCTAGCCAATTTGCTGGCACTGGCATATAGTGTCATATGATGGATTAATTCATGAATTTGATATTCGGACAAACCATATAGATTCCATTCGTAGAATGTATTTTCATCATAACTTACTTGAGGCCTCTTGGGTTCTTCAAACAGTAAGTCTACTGGGGCATGCCTAGGGTAATAAGGCTTTTTACTCTTATACGAGAGCTTATTTAGCTCTATTGAGGGTGTATTAGATTTTCCAATTTCTGATTCCTCACTTAGTAAGTCTATAGAATGAGAATCAAATATCTTTTCTTCTTCTTTTAATTTTTTAAATGATATCTTTGAGGACTCTCCATTTTCCTAGTTGGAACTTTGGAATGAAATCATTTTAGCTACTACATCCTTGTAGTTCATTTTGGACAGGTCTAACATAGTTCTTTTAATTCTCATGTCGTGAGGAAATTCTCTCACCACTCCCATTGGCTTTTCTTTTTTAATTATTGCTGTTCTTTGATTAGAAAATTCTAGGGAACTTAACAAGGTTTCAATTCGGCTTGTTTGTTTGCCTAAAACATTCAGGCATATGTTTGTATAGTTATTTTGTTATATTATCTGAGAACAATGTTCTGGTATTACCTTTTTAGCTTCCTTGATTATAGCATAATTCTTTATTGGGCTAGCTAAGGAGGTTGTATTGATTCTACAGTTTTACCTGTAGAAGCAATCTTCCATGCTCTAGAAAGTTTATTTGTGATACATAAATCTAATTCTTCTTCTGGGGATTTTATATTTTTAAACGGTTTTTGTTGTGCAAACCAATCCCAGAAAGGAATATTTTCCTTAGCTTCTAACATATCTTTGTACCAGAGTTCTCTAGTACAATCTCTCAGATTTACAAAATTTTTCAAAGAAAGCATTTCTTTCTTATTGGTTGAGAATTGAAATTTAACCTAATAAAGTCTTTATCTATATGAAATTCTTCAATTTCTAGGACGTTTATTTCAAAATCGGCTTCTGTTGGTTCATAAGATCTTACAGAAAGGACTTGGTTTTGGGTTGTATGATAAACTGAAGGTGGCATATTAACTGTTGGTGTTTCATATGTAGCATATATTATACCTGGAGGGGGACGAGATGGTTTTGAAAAATCCACCGACCTTCTAGAATAAGATCTTACCTTCAATGTGTTTAGTGTATGAGGGTCTCAATGAAGTAGAGGCTCTCTTGAACCTTAGTTATATAGATCCATCCTGTTCACCTAAGCTAGTTCAGTGGACTCCATGGGTCTGGGAGGCTCAACATTAGCTATCAACCAACTATCCGACAACTTCACGTTTTTCCATATGATTTGCCTCGAAATTGTGACATTATTCCTGGCATTGGTTTGGAACAGAATCGTCATTCCCCTTGTTCCGGTTATCCTAGTATTAGGACAGATGGTATTCATGGTGTTGAAATAGACCTTGTAGACTAACGCTACATATTCTAACCCTAGTTTCATTTCGAAACCTTGGGTTTGCAGTCTCAAGGTTAAGGCTTCGTGGATCCCTGGGTCTGTTAGAGACACTGTAAAATTAGGGAACGCATTAAAGTATATGGGCCCTTGACTAAGGTTACCTTCAATTACTCCTATTAAGGAATCACTAAATTTATTATGCCTGGAATCTCTTAGACATGCTAAAGCAGCTGTTGGAAGACCTAATCGGGTCAATGGTTTGATGGCTACTTGTACTAGGCCCAAATTGATGAAATGACACTCGACCTTTTTCTTATAGGCTTCTATAGTTCTTTGGTCTATAAGGTGAAAGTCTTCTGATTCATTTCCTAGTGCTATCGTTCTTTCTACAGTTCTAATGTTAAAGTCTGTTTTTAGACTAAAAACTCCCCTTTTGTAGATCTTAGACGGTGCTATCTTGGGTATGGTCCAATTCTGAAGGGATTTCTCTATGTTACTATAATTTATTTCTTCCATATTTTTTAGACATGGACTTAGTAAGGGAAGAACTGGTGCTGCATTCTTCAGGACTATATTCTGGATTAGATGCTGACCTAAACAATCTCCTCATCTTTTCTTTACACTTCACCTTCAACAGTTAGTCAACTTCAACGGCCTTTCATTAACTCTGCTCGGCCTAACATGACTTTGACCTCGGTTCAAGGGTTTTAGTCTTGGTGGAATTGGTAGGTGTCTAGTCTATCCAACTTGGGTTCTAGCCAAGTGAAATCTCCGAAGAGGTTGCAATCTTAGGGTTCTAGCCAAAGGTTCTAGGTGGTATCTAAACAGAAGATATTTCTAATGTTCACAAGTTTAAATTCTAATCTTACGATCTAATGACATAAAAGGTTATAGAAGAAATATGGACCAAAAGGCTCAAAATTTAGGGTAACCTTGGATCATTAACTCAAGGGTTTAAAGGAATGTTGGATCTATTGCCTTTGATGCCAACCGAGGAGGATGAGAAGACAACAAAGTCTACAAAAGCAGTGCCAATTCAAGGGCATAATCTAAGTCATAAATCTGAATTGTAGACAATTCATTCTTGATATCATCCCCTAGTCCATTCATGAAACGAATTGATTTGTACCTTTCACTTTCTATGATGTCACATCTAATATATAATTCATCAAACTTATGCATATATTGAACTATAGATAGCATACCTTGCTTGAGATTAGTCAACTCCACATATAGATCATCATGGAAGTATTGTGGAATGTTACTTTTCTTGTAAATACCTCTTCATCTCTGCCCATGTGGTAATATTCACCTCTATTTTCTAGTTGTTGTTCAAGATTTCTCCACCATACTTTAGCAATACCTGCGAGCTTCATGTGTGCAAATCTAAATCTGTGTTTTTTAGGCATATCATGCCAATTGAAATATTCTTCTAGTATATCAATCCAATCAAAGAATGTTTGCCCATCTTCATCTCCCTTGAAATTAGGCACTTTCCTTTCTCTTCTAACATTCTTGAAAACCTTACTCCTATAGCTGACATTACTAGATCTACTTTCTTCCACCAATTTCTCAAGTAAATCAACCATAGACCCTTCATATGGTTCAAAAACCCTATCATCATTGATTCTAGACTGACATTGTCTAAATGATATCCCAGGCCTATAGAATCAATCACTTTGTAAGAACATGGCGGCTAAACATTAGCTCTGATACGAAAACTGATGCAGTAGGGCTGGAACATACTATCAAAAAACAGAAATGAGAGAGAGAGGGACTGGTCAAAATGATGAAAATACCCATACTGTCCAAATATACAGAAATACAGAAAATTTCAGAAAATTCCAAATTTGATTCTTCAGCTCCTACATTACCCTCCTTAGTGATTGAACGGGTGGGCATGGTGGCTTACCATCTTATGATCTTAGCTTCCTTCGAGCTCCAAGCTTCATCCTGTTTTTCACATGTCTCTTTTGAAGAAGCACATAGGTGTCAACATGTCACTTCTTATGTTCAATGATGGTGTTGAACTTCAGCTCAGTCACAATGGGTCCTGGACTATAGATGGGTTGACTGGTAAATGAATCCTTCACATGGACAAGCTTACTTGCTGAGAATGCCAATTGGGAGTCTTGCTTTGCCCTCCATTAGATGTATCCCAATTTAATCCTCGAGGACGAGGATGCTCTTGAGGGCTGGGGAGTTTTTAGGAGTGCAGCTGAGCCCAACCAGAGTAGCGGAATGGGTGGTGCAGGGAGTTCAACAACTTGCCAACTTGTCAAAGAATTAGTTATGAATCTAAACTGTAAATCCAAGTTGTTTGTCAATGTAAGAATTACTATACAAGTGATGTGGTTGGAAGGAACTTGTTAGGAGGCTGCACCACCTCAAAGAGGCAGTTGTATTGGGCAGACACCCGACAGATTATAACAAGGGCATTTTGGTCTATAGAATGTTTGAATGCCATTGGCAAGATTTGATATCACTTTGAATAACTTTTTTTTCTTTTATCTTCTTTTGCCTGACTGAATCCAAGTTGTTTGTCAATGTAAGAATTACTATATAAGTGATGTGGTTAGAAGGAACTCGTTGGGAGGCTGCACCACCTTGAAGAGGCAGTTGTATTGGGCAGACACCCGACAGATCATAACAAGGGCATTTTGATCTATAGAATGTTTGAATGCCATTGGCAAGATTTGATATCACTTTGAATAACTTTTTTTCTTCTTTTATCTTCTTTTGCCTGACCTTTTCTCTATTTTTTTTTTCAAAATTTTATTGAATGTTCATGGAAATGTTTCTTCAGAATTGCCTCATGGAAGATTTTTTTTCCCTTGTACAACATTCCTCTTAGGTGATAACAAAATTCTGTTCAGAGCGCATTGCAAAATATGCTTTTGAGTATGCCTATCTTAATGACCGGAAGAAAGTGACAGCTGTTCACAAGGCGAACATTATGAAGCTTGCAGACGGTCTCTTCCTAGAATCTTGCCGTGAGGTTGCGACAAAATATCCTGGAATAAAGTATAATGAGATAATTGTGGACAACTGCTGCATGCAACTTGTCTCGAAGCCTGAACAATTTGATGTCATGGTATGTGGTTTTATAATTCATTTATATCTTGCTTTTCTTATATTCACATGTTTCTCCGTGTCTTTGTTTTTATTGTTTGACTATTGTCTTATGCCTGCCCCTTATTTGTGTGTGTTTTCTCAGTTGGAATTTGTTAATATGATTGCATTTTTGTTTGACAATTGTCTTATACCTGAATCTGGGGGAGGACATATATACACAATTAACTCTTCTCATACCAATCTCTGATTCTAATATGATGTAGCTATCTTCATTGGCATCTAGCTTCAACAAAATACTCTTCATTCTTTTCTTCGTTCCCACTGAGAAAGCCACTACCACATACCTCTGAAATTATTCCTCTTTGAACAGCCAAATAAAAGTGCATCAACCAGAACAGAACACTCTAGCTGACCATAATAAGTGGCCATAAACTAGTTGAAACCTACCCTGTTAACAGAACTCTGATTGATGAAAAAAGTAACTAAATCTGCAGCTTCAGTTGAAGTAGAACAGATTGCAGGTCCAATTAGATCTTAGATCTGCTTGTATGATGAAATAATTTGCAACCTGTTATTTATCTAATAAAACAGAAATGAAAGAACAGAAAGAGAAGAGAGAAGAGAACTTGGTCTGGTGAAGAGAAGAAAAGAGAAAATCAAGTCTTCCCACAACCAGAAATGCCTTTATAATGTAACATCACAAAATAAAAGGACTAAAGTGCCTTTAGTAAATTTAGAGTAGATGCACTATGTTACTCCGCTACCTACTTACTCTAATATACAAAACACCCCCTTGACTTATTTAAATTAGACAGTAACATTCCTAACAAATTGTTAAGGTAATAAAATTATATTACAAAAGTTACTTGTATTTGTTGTTATTATTTTATTGTTGTTCTTGTTGTTAAATTGCTTTTTGCCTTGTACATATTATCTATCTATATAATAAAAATATATTATATGCATTAGAAGGATAGTAGTCGATCTAGACTACAATCTGTCTTGAATTTAAAAGAAAAAGAGGATGAAAAATTGAAGAGAAGAAGAAGAGAAGAGAGGAAGAGAAGAAGTACACGAAGAGAGTTTCAGAAAAAGAGAGGAAAGGTTATAATTTCTGCCGACCCACTCTTAGTATTTATATAATTGTAAAAGGGCTGAATTGCCCTTATTGCTTACATGGCAAATAGAATAAGAAATAACTAATAATAAAGCTGAAATAACTACCAACTAACACTGTCATATCTAATAGAAATATTGCTGCCATACGAACACTATGGGGACCACATCAGTGGGGTCCACATCAGTGTTCTCTACACTCCCCCTCAAGTTGGGAATAGATATTTGT